AACTGCACTACACAACATGGAATCAGGTAAAGAAATGCCATCCTCATTTTATCCTCCAACCCCAAGCATGACAGCATAGTAGAAGCTGATATCTCCATCATTACATCATAGCGTACACAACTTCTCGAAGTATGGTTGTATATGATCAAAGAACGAAAAAAGAAAAGGAAATTTCCTTAAACAATGCCGGTTGAAACACTGGAAGTTGCATGAATTTTCAAAGGCTGCTCAGGTCTATACGTCACCCCTGTTAATAGCAGAAAAATTTACCATTAAGAAAGCACCGTGTAAAGATACATAGCTTCTCATTGGATGAATAAGAGGATAACAAAAGCAAGTTCACCTCTGCCTATAATTTTAAATAAGTAATTGCAAGCACAAAATAAATTGGTGAAAAAAAACATATGATTAAAACCTAAAATAACCAAAAGAATGGGAGTGGGGAAATCACACCAAAAATCTCAAATATCTGAATAATATAGACAGATTCCCTCTGGTAAATAATCAGATGCATGTCCGAAAGTTGAAGAAGCCAATGCAAAAGGATGATACTCCTTACTGATTTCACTTTCCAAACTGAAAAGAAGCTCTAAATTGGTTTACTTAGTCCAAACTGAAAAGAAGCTCTGAATTAGTTTACTTAGTCCCTTCAACATCAAACTTCCAAATTTACAATGAGGGTTGATGATTAAAATCATATTCATTCTTTGACTAAAGGTTAGTTTACTTATGTCCCTTCACCAAAATTCCAAATTTATGATGGAGGGTGATGATTAAAATCTTATTCATGCCTTCAGTTTTGGCAACCATTTTCATGATGCAACATGGGGGCTACTTTGCAACCGGGAAAGTCCTGATGCTATCTTAGTGTCACTTTTACTACATCGAAACTATTGAAGTTAGGGTGAGGGCTAAGGTTTATAATGTATGCTACAAGCTTCAGAAAAAAGTTGCATCTGCTGGTAAATTCTAGCAACTCAAACCATCAAAAGAGATTAAACCTTCAATTAACTAAGCTAACATCTAATATTTCATAGGCTCGTATTTCAGTTTTTCTCTAAACCAAAGGTTAATCACGGTGGACTTCTATGTGATGCTAAGTGCAAAATAGGGCGGCAGGCTTAGGTTCTGATGAAAGCTACAAATCAATAACAATTGGCAATCCTGGTGAACATTTAATAAAATGTAAGATTTGTTAAGAAAGAGATGACAGAGAAAGAGGGGGGAGAGTGGGAGAGGGAGAGGGAGAGGGAGAAAAAAAAAGAGGGGAGGGGGGGGGGGGTATTTTCTCTCCTCTCCACCTTTTATCCATAATAACAGAATACTTATCTATCCTCTCTAGCTTTTATTTATAATAATATAATGCTAATCCAAGTCCTAATTACATAAGGAACTAAATTACTTTCCAGAAATAACATCTTTCTAAATACAATAAGCCCTCTCATAACAAGAACCATGATTAACAGTACCTTTTTCTTTAATGGCTACTTCAAGGGTACTGAGTGTAATTATCCCATCCGTCAAGGGTAGTAACTCGAGCTTGACCATGGCACTTGAACCAGCAGGAACACATCTAAGTTGATCAAATAGAGTTAGAATAAAAGCCTTCTGTATTTCTCAAAATTTTATGTTGCCAACTATCGAATAAAGGGTAATTGCAGATAGACACCACCTGTGGTTCTATTGTGGCAGATAGACTGCCTGAGTGAACTTTTGGTCTCTTTTAAAGCCTCAGGAGTTCGATTTGTCAAAAAGACAATTTTCTTTTTCTCTGAGGGTAAAAGTGTCAAACAAATTCACTCGGTGGTCCATTTACAACAGTAGAACTACAGTGAGTCTCTCTGCCATTAGCAGATAAGGTCTATCCACAATTAACTCTAAATAAAATGTACAGATGGCTGATAGTATTACCCCAGAGGAACAGTACTCTGCAACCAAAGATGAGAGCAGCCCAAATCGGAATTAGACATTACATCAGACGTTGCGCCAGTATGTTGTGCAAGAGAGATTGATCTTTTCCCACTTGTGTTGCTCTCTTTTTGACTCTCCATTTCTACTGGCATTGAACTCAACCTATGCAGTCCACCAACTCTCCCCATACCTTCAGATACACCAACGAATGTGCTTTGGGGAGTTGAGGGAGCAGAATTTAAAGGCATAACCGAAGTGTAAGTGTTGGGTGTAGCTGGAGCAAGAACGGTCAGTGTTAGATCTTCAGATGTTAAATTTGAAGCTTGTAGAGTCATCGCCTGAGACATTTCAAAAACAAGACACATGGATCATTTTCAAGAAAATTCAAGCTGAAGGGTTAGAATCAAAATACGAAGCAAAAACCTGGACTGGAAGTTGAGGCAATCGTCCATTAGATTCAACAGTTTGTCCTGATATTTCTGATACTACAGAGATCATAAGATCCCTTGCAATGCGTGGCCTCCAAATTGTTGGCTGCTTGAAAAATAGTTTCGACTCTGTTGCATACAAGAGATACATGAGTAGATAGATTCACATATTTATCATGAACTTTTCATAAATGCATTACCAGTATAATTGCATCGACATGATACTAAAACTGCATACTGATCCACACTTGGAGAAACCTTTCTTGGATCGCTAACCCTTGGTGTCATGTGCGCATTTGAAGTAGAGTAAGACATTTTTTGATGTAATTGTGTAGGCTTTCGGTCGCCATGGCCCTTAAGATCCTTACCGACTGTAGCTGCAGGCTTTAGAATGAAAGAATGCTCCTCACCTCTCCTGCATGAAAAGATAGCATGTGAGAACAAGAAAAACTAGTGGAAATAAACCAATAGTTTAATCAAACTACAAATAATCTTCCATGATCTAGTTGGTATGCATAATGTGGGTAGCCCTGGCTTATTTTCCATGTTCCATGTCAAAACTTCTAACCACCAATCAATGTACTAATCATACTCCCTTTAAAAGTGGGAGTTTGGGAAAAACTTCTCTTGGACAATGTTACCCTTGATTTTTTTTAAATATCATAATATGATCCTATCCTAATTAATAGAACCCTTTAAATAGATCTATAATACATTACTTGTGATCCTATCCTAATTAATATAAATATCTTTAATAAATTCTTAACAATCCAAAAAGTGGTAAACAATTTTCTTAAAAATCTAAATACAATGTATCCTTAAATCAAAAAAACTTATAAACAACCCTTATAAATCATAATTTATGAAAAAAATCTTTAAAACTTCAAAAATTGCAAATGACCACTTATACAACTACAAATTACGGAACGCCATTTAAAAATTCAAAAATTACAAACATCAAAGCCCCCGAAAAAACCCAAAATTACAAAAACATCCTAAAATGTAAATATTACAAAAAAACCCTAAAATTCTAAAATTCTAGAACAACCTCCTGAACAATACAAAATTACAGGCAGAACCCTAAATTTTGAAAAATATTAACTTCCTCACCAAAAATTTCAAAAATTACAAAAAAACACCCTAAGAATATAAAAATTTTGAACAATCACCAAAACCAGTTGAGATTATAGGCAAGGCAACACCCTGAAGATTAAAAAATTACAAACTAGAGGAAGCTTAATTTTATAAAAAACACCTCGCAAAATCCAAAAATTACAAAAAAACAACTTCAAAAATAAAAAAATTTGAACAGTCCATGAACAATGTATAAGTACATACAACACCCTGAAAATTTTAAATTTACATACTTTCAAAAATCTGTTGTTGCAGATAACACATTGGGAAAAGCAAAAGAATTAAAAAAACAGTGAAAATCTGACATCCAATTAGCCCTTTGAACAATCTGAAACTACCATTGAATATTCAAATTTTACAAACAACTTCCAAAAAGTCTTCAAAAATATAAAATTCATGATTGTCTAATAAATTTTCAATGAAAGATTTTATCAAATACTTCTAACTAAAAAACTAACTCTTATCAAATACTTCTAAACTATCTAAATGATGTTGGAATGTTACACTCTGTTGAATTATGGTTGTCTAACAAATTCTCTATGAAAGATTTGAGTGAGACATCATATAATTTGGGGCTTAAACTCTATAGAGATAAAGCTAACAAGTTAATAACATTATCCTAGTCTACTTATACTGATATGATAGTGGCCAAGTTTAACTTGCAAGATTCAAATAATAGACTTATTCCTTTTGGACACGGAGTTGCTCATTCTAAGAAAATGTTACCTCAGAGAAATAAGGAGTTAGAAAGAATGAAGCAATGCTCATATGCTTCTGTTGTAGGCAGTCTTATGTATGCAATATTGCATACTAGGTCAGATATTGCTCAAGAAGTAATTAGCGTTAATAGATATCAGTCCAATCCAGATCCAATCCTAGGGAGGAATATTGGACCGCAATTAAATATATTCTTAACTATCTTAACTGAACAAAACATTATGAGAATTTTGAATAGGCCCCTAAACAACTTGAAATTATATAACACCTTAAAAAGTTTTAAAAATACAAACAACCCCCTTGACGAATCTAAAAATTATACACACCACCTCAAAAAATCCAAAAAATAGAATCAAACACCTTAAAACCTAGAAATTTTTGAACAGTTCCAAGAATAATATGTAATTACATACAACACCTAAACAATTTTAAAAATTACAAACAAACAAGAATGTTAAGTTGCAGAAAACAGATGGAAAATAGTGAATAAAAACACCATGAAAGTCTGAAATCTTCGATTAGCCCTCAAAACAATCTAAAACTACAAATAACCACTAAATATTCAAAAATTACAAACGTCTGAAAAGTCATTAAAAAAATACAAAAAAATACCAAAATTCAAAAATGAAAAAAAAAACACACCGAAAATCTAAAATTTTAAATCGGCCCCTACACAATCTGAAATTACAAAGACCCCAAAAAGTTTGAAAATTAGGAAAAGCCCTAGGTAAATATTAAGAATTACAAATGAACTTCTAAAAAAATAAAACTTACAAACAACTCCCTAAAAATCGAAAATTGAAAACAAACTCCTAAAATACAAAAACAAAAAAATCCAAACAATCTCATTAAAATCTGAAAGTACCAAAATAGCTTTGGAGTTGAAAATTCTATAATTGAAATTCTAACGATTCCCAAACAATAGATTGGAAATAATTACAAAATTTTAAGTTCTAACAATTCATTGAATCTAAACACAAACTTAATGCAATTTCAACAAAAAAAACGTGACATTTAAAGAATTTTGAATAAGATCCCTTTAAACTTCATTCTCTTTAAACAAAGGATGACAAATGCTACAAGATTCCAAGAGGTTTTTTTGGGTGAATTATATGTCTATATTATCTCTTTGAGATCATATATTCTTATGGAATTACTCTCATTGCATAAACTGTGTATGCACTTGATTTTTCCTTGGACACTACTTTGTATTTGACGGCAGGATTTTTACTACAAGGAAATGGTATCTCTCAAACTTTGAAAACTTTCTTAGAGAGGTCAAGGCTTTGATACCTAATGTTTTTTAGGGTAGATGTTGTTTTTCTTGAATAATGTTGTTGTCATTTAGCATAAAGAGTGTGACATAGCTATTGTGGACAGTTAGTTTTTGGTTAGAAGTGTTTCAGCCATATTGAAAATCAAATTAGTTTTATCATTACTAATTAGTATCATATTGATATATAACTTTTATTGTTTTTTAAAACTGATATTTTGGATCATGTAACTAATCTTTTTTGTTAGTCTCATGTGAATTTTGTCAAGTATGACTTTAATATGGATTTCCCATCGCATTAGTCGTTATGTGTTTGCTATATAGCATAAAAGTTCTTTGTTATGTATATTAGATCAAGGTTCTAAAATTACAAGTTGAGATTTGTGATACGTGTTAGATCAAAGTTCTAAAATAAGGCACAACTAATTTCAATACATTATTAATTTGATATTAGTCTACAAAATATTATCACGTTATCGTCATCAACTAGAGGTTTAAAAACATGATCTTATTTCATGCAATAAATTATAGGGTAACCATGCTAATTCACACACAAGTTATAGTAAAGACTTAAATTCGTTTCTCGAAAAAATATGTAAACCTGAATGAAATAATCAAATTATTTGATCACGTGCAAAGCACGTGCATCCCATCTAGTTACATGTAAAAGAACAACTTTTTCACATATTACCTTTCTACTTCCATTCCTTGACATTATATTATGTTCACTTATAGCACTAGGTATATTTATGTGCATTTATAAACGAGGTGTCCGAAGTGTTGTGCTGATAGAGTGTCATAGTATGCAGCAATTACTGTGTATGCAGTGTTCAGATGAATAAGTACACAGATACTTCTAAATGGGATCTCATTGGTGCCTAATCTTGGGTCTGATCATAAACATGATTCATAGACAAACTGATAGAAGAGTGCTGTTAGGCATGACTAAGAATACAACAGCAAAAATAAAAGTTGACTAAAAAGAACCTGAGGGATAGATTTGGTAAGCTGTGGCCGTTTCCTGTCTCGATACTTGCAATAGGTAAGGAGAGAGGAGGGCCACCTTTAGACGCCTCGTCAAAAATAATAGCTATCGAATCCAAAAATATTGTGACATCCGGCAAATGAGCAGGCGTGACATTCTGGAATAAGGTAAGTAATCATGATTAGTCAAAACTAAACACACTATCCAGTAAAGTTATCAAACAGAAGTTGATAAACATTTCTAGTAGTGATTCAGATTAAAATTGCTACCTTCACTTGAACACACAGAAGATCCTCTATTGAGCACTCAGCTGCAAATGAATGGATTTCTATAGGTTGGATTATTTCAACTTTTCTGCGCCACCTCCTTCTAGGCAAATATATCCCTTCCAGACCACAGTGAACAGAAAACCGTTCAGGCTCCAAAGGAACACCCCGGAAAGATAATAGCTCACTGTTTTTTCTATCTTGATGAATCACCTTCTCCTGTGAGATGCGATCATAATCATCAACTTCAAAGGAAGGTTTAGAATAGGATGCAGGAATTGTCGAGGAAGGAGGCACATTAACTTGGGGGAGTGAAGGCATGGAGTTACTTCTGAAGTGGCCAAAAGAAAAAATCTGAGAACTAGAAGAGGCAGATGTTGACCTTTGAGTCACGCCTAAAACTGAAGATGAGTTTGATGGAGGGGATAATGGACGAGGAGGTAGAGTACGATCCAAAGGAAGCAACCAGTTAAGAAGGTCCCGACATGGATCCTCAGAATTGGAATGTAAACCATTTAGGTTCTCTGAAACAGCAGACGTAGCCTCATACTTCTCAAATTGAATAACCTCCAAAACAGGATCTTTTATATTACTAACTGCAACATTCACTTGTAAAAGAACCTGCATCCTTCCAACAAAACAGGAATAATATATCACTACTGGTTTACGTTTAGAAAGCAACATCTTATAAAAAATGAAAAAGAAAGTTTGCTACAGGTAGAATGAGTAAATAATGAAACATATTATGTGGAATAAAATAAAATAAAAAAATCTGCTACAAGTGCTTTTGAAAAGATGGGAAATTTTTTCTTTATCAAAACAGTGGCCATGAACCCAGCATCTATTGAAAGGGATGTGTCCACATATTCCTGTTGGTGTAAAAAAACGTTTTGAGATACTAATGTTATAAAAGATCATATGGGTTTTGAAGCATGTTAAGCAGAGAACACTGGCCATGAACAGAACGAGAAAGTCAACATACTTGACAAAATCTTAATTATACAGATGAAAACACATTCTGATGGGTAACATATTTAAAAATGTAAACCAAAGGAAAATTCCATTAAAGGGTATATCCCCTTGACTTGCACGATGGAATAAGAAAAGGTAGGTTTACTAGCCTGGGTTCACTGCATCTTTGGCTCAATTCCGGGTCCCTGATGTCGCTGATGATTATTATTTAAGATGGTATTAGAACAACCCAGGTTCAAATCCCACTGCCCACGAATTTAAAGCAGATTTTAAAAAAAATTGATACCCCTGCGTGAGTCCAGATTTCAAGTCATAACAAGGGCGCTCAACCTGTGGGAGCATGTACGAATATAAAACTAACCCTCAGCCCTAACCGCAACTTTGGAGTTTTGGCATAATGGTTGAGTCGTTTAAGAACACCCTACCTTAATAGTTAAGAAAAAGACCCCTGATGCAAGATCATATGCAAACATGCTTGATCTTTACACACCCATAGCATGTGCCTTACGGATGCAAGATAGGCTGGATAGCCATAATGTTCTACTCAGGATCATGTTGAATCATGCACAATGTTACAATGGAATACAGGAGCATATAAATGAGATGTCATATGGGTAAAATTAAAGGAAAAACAGCTAGAGGTTCAGCCAACAATAGATGCTTACTAATCAGAAAAACACCTGCCAATCTTCTCACCTTTGAAACTTACAATAACAATACATTTTTAGAACAAAAAATAAAGTATTTTTCAATTGTTATGCCCAATAGACAATGTATGCATGTCAAGTACCTAAATTATTTGTACCATTGCTTTTGTGTGAAGAACTCTAGGATTATTGGGTCATTTTATAACACAAAACATGTTCCTCAAAGTAAACAATTCCAAAACCTACATTTTTCACAAGGTTTCCAAGACAACTAGCTAAAATCTTGTTGCATGGTTGCATTTGTAACTGCATTAGAAAGAAATTACAATACTATACGGGCAACATTCGTAAAATGTGAATCTTGTTCGTGAGTTCTGACACAGCTAATTATCTTTTTGAAGCCTAGTTATTAACATAGAAGTTGCCAAAAATCATTAACCATTCTTTTCCATCGTGGAATTTGTAATGAATATAAGAGACCAAAATTCTTTGTACTCCATCCTATTGTGGAATTTCCTAAATGTTTCTTCCTCAAATCAAATTTTGCATTCTTTCCACAATTATTCACAAAATTTTAAAGTAAACACGCCATACAAAGCCTACTGTTACATGGCGAAATTGGGTCGTGGTTATGTAAGTAACTAAAGAAAGGTTTAAGCTACACGATTAGATGTATCTGCTTTCACAACAGTTGAATAGAAAGAAAAGCAAATGAAGCAAAACAAACAAAAATATTATATGAAAGAATTGAGCTTGAAATAAATTTCTAGAAGATTGGCTAGCAATTCCAAATACCTAAAGACAGCGTTAAAGAGTCAACTGTGATTTAGATGTTGAAATAAAATATGAAAAAACAAAAAATATGCATCATAATTACAGAAAATGCATCAAAAGATGGATATTTCCTATCCCAAATCAAACGATTTTTCCTTTATCTAGGTTTTGTAACAAGATGAACACATACAAGGGACCGCCATTTATATCGGAGGAAAGAAAATTTTAAGTTTATGCTCTGTAAAGTTCCAAAGAAAATGCAAGCTACTACACTTGTTTCATACAAGATCAGTTTCAAAAGTACCAGGTAAGATGGCAATCTCAACCAGATTGAAATCAGATTAAAAAAAAAACAAAGTTGGTGATCTCAATTGGACTTTGATGGTTTAGATAGAAATGTGAAGACCATCTAATCCATGGAATATGATCTCTTAAGTTAACCTATCTGAACCGCAACAAACTGCTTAAACATATATAGCTTTGCCACATGGTTCTCTCCGAATGATGTTTAAATATTTAATTTCTATTGTTGGAGCGCTACATACTATAAATGGTAAAGGGAAAACATAACAAAAATATCTAAACCTTTAAACCGGCACAAGTTTTGGCATCTAAAACAATTGTTGGACTATTTACCAATTTTGTTCCAGAAGAAGACTGAAGCCAAACTACCATTTACAACTTTATATCAAAAATGGATTAACAAGTTCAAATCAGAAAGCCCAAGAGAACTTTCCAGTTCACTACATAAATCAGCTTCAACTTAAATAATATAGCATGTTGACCTAAGCATGATGTAGACCTACCTGAGCTGAACTATTGCTCTCCATTCATGTGCAGCATTATGGAGAACATATTTGGAAGCCAAAAGCTCTACCAAGGGGCCGTTTGGTAGCCTGCAACTAGGGTGATTGAAACTGCAACTGCATGCAACTAGGACACTTTTACCCAGTTGCAACTGTCTATTTCGTCACATCTGGCCACTTGCAGTTGCAACAGCAGTTACAAACCTCATCAGTTGCAATATGTGAGTTTCAGCCAAAAATGACTGCAAGTCACATGTGCATCTTAAATGAAATATAAACCCTTTAAGTTGCAAATGCTACTTCAACAAAACCAAATAAGAAAACCATATGTTTAAAATTCAAACAAAAATCAATTCTAATAAATATTAAAAAATAAAAAATAATAAAGAGAGAAAATCTTATTTACATTGAAAATCATAAATATATAATGAAAAAAATAAAATATCCAAAAATTCTTTCAAAAATTATCAAATGTAAAAAACTTTAAAAATTTTCAAATTAGAAAAATATCAAATTACGCAAAAGTGTAAAAAACCTTTTAAAAAAATTAAACTCCAAGCTCAAATGAATTGAATCAAATAGATCATACTTAAAAATCTATATTAAATTTTTGAAAAAATATAAAATGACAGGCTTAAATTCTATAAACTATAAAGAATTAAAAACTTTAATATAGTACAAAAAACTTATCTAAAGATCGTTACAATTTTTAAAAATTCAAAAAAAAATCAAAACTTTTAGAAATTATAAATTTTCAAAATCAATTCAATTTTTTAAAAACACAACTTTTCAGGAAAAAGTGATTTTTACAAAAATTCAAATTTTCCAAAAAAAAAATCTTCTTCAAAAAGTTAAAAATAGTTTAAAAATATAATTTTCTTTTAGAAATGAATAATTTTTTATAATACTTAAATATTTTAAAGAGTGCAGAAAAATAAAAAGTTAAATGTTTTCCTTTTCAGTTTATTAAAGGTAAAAACAAGCTGTACATGATAAGTTGCAAGTACAAAAACTGTAACTGCAGTTGCAACTGTAAGTTATAAAATTGTAAAAGTGAACCAAATGATTGCAATTGCAGTTGCATGCAACTACAACAGCAATTTTTAAATCGCTCGTAAGTACCAGTTGCATTGCTACAGCAGTTGTAGGCTACCAAATGCCCCCAAACTGTCGGCTGGTTTTCAGTGACAACCAATAGAAGAACATAATTCTTTGTATAATAAGCTAGGCTTGTGAATACATCAAACAGGTGGTATTTTACAGGTGTCCAGCAGAGATAAACACATAAAGCAGCTTCTCTCACCATTTAGAAGGGTGCAGCTAAAACACATGTAATCGAAACAATAGATGCACTTCTATGAATTTCCATGAACCGTAAAATTCTTGTCATACTAGCATGTGACAGAATAAATAAAGGTTAAGCTATAGCTATTACTAACACCCACTTCAATAAGTATTAACAATAGCAAATTCTTCAGAACTATGAATTTTACCAATGAATATTAGAAATAATTTGACATACTACCATATGACAGATTGAATAATGGTTAAATGACTATTGTTAAAGCCTGCTATGATAAATATTAACAATATCAAGTTCTTCAGATTTACCACTATGTCACCATTATGTAAAGAGTAGCATCTGATATCATTTCTAGCCATTCCACCAGAAGAACTTCCGTCAAAACCTCCCCTATCAATAACTGCATTGACCAAATTAGCCTTTGAAACCTTTTTGGAATCTATATTCTCTGAATGAAAATTTTCCCCAGCCATATCAGAATTACTTGAAGATGGATCTGCTCCATTTCTTTTAGACCAAAGTGGTTCATCTAGATGTGCAATTCTAACAAAAAAATTTGAATTTCGAAAACTTTCTAGCAGTGCTTCTGTCTGATGCTTATGATCTTCCATGCGAAGAAGGGATTCCGTTAGAGATATATCCTCCAGGTCAAGTGGGCTATCAGCAGTCGAAATATTTTCACCATTTTCTTCTTTAACAACATCTGCAGTTTCCTCATAGGTGTCATTCATATTACCTTGATCGATGAGAGAGTTGGCCTTCTCTCCAATAGTCTTTGTTTGATTCTTTCCAGAGTAGTTATTCTTAGAAATAACAGCAGCAACTTTAAATGGAGTTATAATCTCAGTATGCTGCTTAGAAGCTGATAAGCAAACTAGTAAATGAATCTGTTCACCTGGAATGAAGACAGATTAAATTCCTAATATCAGACCCATTCACTGGCTAGGGATAAAATCAGATCAAGCGAGATGATGTAACTACCAGGAAAAACAAAAGAACGGTCCAAAGAGCGTAACTGAGGAATATCTGAAGCGTCACTCCAATCATCAGGAAGTACCCCTGGAAGTAACAAAACAAACTTATACCAAGGAATTTTTAAGCGTATAAAGTTTAAAGCATGCTAGCAAGAAAGACAAACTTAACCATTCTAAGATAAGAAAGGAAAAAAACTGAAGATAAAAAGAAAGTAACTAAGAGGTAAACATGGAAGTCATCACATAGCCTTATCATCTCTAAGTGCAGAGGCAAAGGAGTAAGTGGGGCCAACTGCCAACTGCTACCTCCCACTCTACAGAAATCACTTTGGTGTGTATCTAAGTCATAAAGGTTGTAAATGCACAAGCTTGTATCCCCACTCCACAATACCTCCTCTAGAAATGAGATAAAAGAGAATGTCAGCGTTACCAAAACACTCCATTTTACAGAATTTTTCCCATGACAGAAGCTCGAACACAACACGGCAATTGACCATCTCATTCTATGACCCGAACAGTTCCCGTATAGTGATAAACAGGAAAAAAAATCATTTGTACTTAAAGAACATAGAAGTATAAAAAGAATATCTGGAATAAACAAGGGGAATCCCAGATCCATCCAAAGAAGTGTCATGGTTTTCAATTATGCAACGGTCATGACATAGGCAAACAAGTAGCTAAATTTATCAATGTGACGTGCAATGCGAGCATAAATCCCTTTATGCGCACATGTGCAAGGCGCAATATGATGCGTGTGCCCGAGTGAAGCAAGGCACACCGCAATACATAGTTATTCAAAATAGATAATCAAGCATGAATGAACGTATATGATTTTTCACAAAAAAAAATATGTCAAGATAAATAATATCTACTACCAAATCATAAAATACGGTCTTAATCATAATGCTAGCACACCTAATATAGCAGTAAAGTTCATAATTTTCTAAATCAAAAGTCAAATCAAGACTAATATCGAAGAAAAATCAAATACTAAACAAGGAGTGAGGGTCCTCAATCGGGCTACTAAAATGGCTTAACGGGTTTGTTTTTCTCTTTGGGAAATGGGTTATCAAGAACAAAGACCCAATTGAAATGTTAAAGAACAAAATATATGGGGGAATGTTTTGCATGTGCCATGTGCGAAGCGCCCTCTCATAGGGCATCGTGAAGCGCAAAAGGAATTGCCACATCAGATGCAGGGCACTTCACACCACCCCGCATCACAGGCTACATGGAGTGCAATGAGACGCACACCTTTGATACATTATTGAAAAAACGGTGAAGAGCAATGGTACAAAACAGAAGCAGGCCTTGACCGCTTCACTTTGCCTCAAAGTGTGATATAAAGCACCCCAGACGCTTTTTGCTCGCAAAGGCACAAAAAAGTGGCGAGAAGCGCTTAATGGTCGCTTTAAAACACTTAATTAAAATGCCGATGATGAGAAATTGGTCTCAATTTTGCACCTGACTGACCCGGATCCATTTTAACATATAAAACACTCCTATGTCACTATCCCTCTTTCTCTCTCTATTACCAACCCAAGAAAACCCCAAGACCTCAAAAAATCCTCTGCCACCACCACATCCTGCCCCAAATTCCGCGCTCCAGAACTTTTCCCGCCTCCACCAACACCTCCAGCACCTTCTCCTGTCGCCTCTCACCATCTTCAGTCATCTCTCTTGAGCTCCTCTCACCATCTCTAAGACTCCAACAAGCTCATCATTGAATTTTTATTCTACTGCTCCCTCTCGTACATCCCCTTGACGAAACACCAGTATTTTGTCACTATTGTGTAATTGTTACACATCGCTTTCATGCTTAGGATCTCTATAATTCATCAAATATGCATTTGTAGTGTTTTTAGATTTTTCTTGAATTTTTTGGATATTTATACATATTTAACTGGACCTTTTTTTACGTAGCACTTTTTTCCACTTTGATCCGCTTAAGCCCCAAGAATCCTAAGTTTAGCTCCGCTTTTCACTTTCCACAACTTTACTTCGATAGCACAGCAAAATATAGTGTGTTTCTCCTCTTGAGCATGTAGTCATAATATATACAAGTTACTTAACATGTATAAAAAGTATTCACACCCCCCGTGTAATTTTGTTTACAAATTGATGTGTCGAATACATTAGATGCTCTTGACATTGACACCCGTTTACCATGTCTAGGTGACACTAGAGGGGACCTTATGCCTAATTCTCTCTGAATCATAAAATGGTCTTTTGTCACCTCTAATAACAACCAAATTAGTTCAATTTTCTTATCAAAAGCTCATGTAATTTAGTCCCTCTCCAAACAATTTCTCATCTACTCCTAACCTAAAAATACATATCTTCTCAACACGGCCCGTTAAGAATAATTACTTCATGTAGTAACTAACCAAATCAAAACTAGCTTTTGTACTTTTAACTTGCATACAAAATACTACATCCCGCTTTCTATAATAAGCTGGTATCTACTTAAATCATCAAAGGTAATTCTCTGTGTGATTATTATTTACTTTCTATTAGATTTTTTTTTCCAATCCACCTCCCACAATACAATGGAAATGAAAATAAATGTCATACTGCAACTGCAATTACCACATTATAAGGGAAAATTAGAAAAAAACCATTGCATTATGGGTGTTGCTCTCGAAACTTTCCTAAACTTTATAAATTTCATTAACACCCATGAAGTTTTCCTACTACATCCCCGATGTAACACCGTCACTTTAACATGCCTTTTGACTAAAAACAATACAAAAACCCCTTAGGCACAAAAAGAATCCCCCCTTGTATATTTCTTTTTTTTTTGCAAATACTCGTCACATTACTCAATATGCAAAAATATGTGACTTCTTCTCTTGCCCCTAAACCACACCTACTCTGGTAACCATTTAATGTTAAAGAGCTTTTTTATTAGTTGACAACAACCATTAATACCATTAGGCGGGGTTTCATTGGGAAAATTAGAAATTTTAGAGGTGCTTATGTGAGACACAAAGATGGTTTAGGGGGCGCGGGGGGGGGGGGTCATAGGCGTTTTCATGCCGAAATGCCTCAAAGTCCCGAGGGGTTAGTGAAATTTACCCAAATTATAAGTTGGCTCATCAAAGGTTGCCTACGGACCAAGTCTAGTAGCTTCCAGTCTTATAAGTTCATATGACAACCAACGCTCATGTGAAAATGGTACCAGTATGTCAATATCCATTACTCACCTATGAGTATCAGAGAAACAAGTTTCAATAAACCCAATTAAAAAAACTTAATACTTATTGAAGGTGTCTAAAAAGAAAATAAAGGGAGCTCAAAGTACATCGGCTGGTAGCTGTGGAGCTTTGAGATTTGAACTTGGCTGGTAGCTGTGGAGCTTTGAAATTGGAACTACTAATAGATATCTAAACTAGAACCATAAACGACTCAAATAAAACATAGAGGTAGAAAAAATTAGGACGACTCAAGGATATGCCACATACACCAGACAAATCCCAAGGGTTGAATGGTAACCTTCAGTGGTTCATCCAATGCATGAGCCAGCAGAAATTTTATGTTCAATATATAAGCTCCGTGGTGAACTAATTTGTCAAAAAGTAAAAGACAATTTTGAAACTACACCCTTTTCTATAAGTGATACATCATCATTTGCAAGTATGATTTGTGTAAAAGGTTTATTAAGATTTAAAAAAAAAGACAACCTGTAAACTTAATAAAGAAGTTTAGCTCTATCATGGGAAGTAGGCAACCACAGTAGAACTTCAACATTATGCAGATCAAATTCAACAAAGTGGATCTATATTATGTAGATCGACTTCAGTAAAGTGAATCTTTAAAGAGAGGAAACCGTTTCACATTATGTAGAGCTTCAAGAAAGTGGAACCTTAAAGTGATCCATCATCAAATTCCCAATAGGAAAATTTCGATCCAAATCATTCAAACTAGTTGGGTCTATGTATGCATGTAATATGTATTTATATGTATTAGAAAAAGGATATGGTATAAGCTCACAATGCAGGAAATTTCTTGCATTGAAGCTCAAAAGAACAAGAGAGTCATGATCTACATCCTACATAGGTATGTGCACATCTTTGATCGTAGAAAGGCAAATAATCAGGTAGTACGTACTGCACGGAATTGTTATACATCCTTCACCCTCAGCAACATCAGAAAGGTTACCCATGGGAACTTGGCTTTCTAGATTCGAGTCTACAGGTGCTCCAGTTGCATCACCAATCCCATCACTGTCTCTATCACCCTCTTCACTTGAGGATCTTTGAAATGGATCATCAGCAATAAGGCCCTCTAGTGTAGTAGTTCGTTTAAGCGCGGGATGCTCATCGTTGTGGAGTTCGGAAATACTTGGCAAATCTGGAGATACATGATGTGTTGAGCGCGATAGAAGAAAATTCATCACTTAAGCCCAAGTGCCTGGAAATTCATTAAGGTAAACTTTTTTAATTGAGGGTTCAAACGGACACATTGAAATTCAATGAAAAAACAGAAAAATCATGAAATAGTATCCATTGAGTTAAGTTTCTAACGGAGAACCAGTAAGAAACTACAAGTCAAATAATTGAATGTCAAAACGTCATATTATTTTTTCTACTTCACCAACTGATTCAACATGCAACTTTCCCACTTGAAATAAGTAACCTTATCCTATAAAAGTCAGTCAGTTCCAAAAAGTTGGAAAAGGTTGTTTTCAAAAGGGGAAAAATCATGATTTTAAGAAAATATCAGCTCACAATTGTTTACCAGTAAAAACATTAGCCACTTTAACAATGTTTTAGTCAAGTTCAAATCAGTTTAAATGTGCTCAATACATCACATAAAAACTCATTTCTTCTTCATTAATGGAATAGCTACTAACAGGACATGCAAGCAACATGTTGGAAAGGAGAAAAACTCTAAGAAATCTTCCACCATCTCATACCTAATATACAAAAATTAAAGACAGGTAGTAAAGGAAGAAAAAAAATAAATGACATGATCTAAAAGTATTTCCTTCAAGAACTATGTAACAAGCGAACAACTAGTTAAACTTTCTAAACTCCAAAATACACAACATGAAGTAAAGACAGATGCAATGTAGAACCTATATGCCTATACAGTCCAAGCTTCAACATACCTACTGTAGATAGGTGATGAGGCATTGATGCATGCTGCATGCATATTCTATGAAAGTTGAGTTTTTTTCTGAAAAAGGCTTATGCTGCTTGGAGTTGCATAATTATCAGATATCAATATGACATATGATGAATTCAACATCTGGCTGATGTGGTGGAAGATCTGGCTCGGATAAGTGCACATTAGTCATCTGATTCAACTTTGCCTATAATGCAAGAAATAAATTATCACCAAGATTATTTTGGCTTCAGGTCCTTCATAGTAAGGGTCCAAAATATTGATCAAAGTAGGGTTCAAATGTCCTTTAGTCATAAATCAGCATGTACACATTAGTTGTTAAAAACTATAGACTTTCTATTAGAAACCAGAGTAAAGCCAACACTATAACAGATAATTTGGAGGACGGGTGGCTGGAATCAATCAAGCAAACTATGGGCAAATAAACCTCAACAATTTCCTTTTCTGCAAAAATAGAATCACACATTGAAGCAGGACAAGACGCAAAGGGATCACTAATGCAATATGAAATAAGACAATCACACAGATGAAATCAATCATAATCAACAAGTAGATCAAATGATCAATGTTACCAGATACGTATAATTCCTTATAATAAATCACTAAAATGATAATGTGATTCAAATGATATGATGCAAACATGCAACAAGATCCAAAGATATGACAATGACCAATATAATTATAAATCTCAGTTGATAGGGATCAGCGGTTAAGATTTCATCTCTTAGATTATTTTAGTAAAGAAATTCTGTCAGATGGAATTTGCAATTTCTTTAGATAAAAGTTTAAATTATTTGATGCTATCTTAGAAGCTAGGTAGCACGGACACAGGACACAACAAATTTGTAAAAGATAGGACAGGAGGACACGGCTAACACACACAGATATTATGCATATATGTATGTGTGTGTGTGTGTGTGTGTGTATACATACATACATATACATATACATGTATATGTATATGTATGTATGTATGTATGTATGTATGTATGTATACATAGACACACAAACAGACACACACACACATATATATAGTAAAATAGCTACAACGTTTATGTTTATTTTAGTATGTAGAATCATCATAGATTATAAACAAGGAACTTCATATGCATGTTACAAGTGATGATCTTTCAAAATTTTGAAGACAACATGAAAACCAAGAATCAAGATAAAAGTAGAAAGAACTGAAAAATTGAAGTCCAATTGAAAACAAGCAAACATGAAATCAATAGTAAACTGAAGTCTATGGAGCTAAACTATTGGAATACCCATTGATTTATAGAAGTAAAGCATCAACATATGAGGATAGAAACCATCACTTGACTGCCAAAAAATAATCACAGTTAAAAGGAATACGCTATTACTTATCTCACTAAAGTTAAAATTACTCACTACTTCTTGATAATTGTCCTCTCAAATATTTCTCCACCTCTTGTAGAGATCCAACGAAGTCCAATTGAAGGCTTTTGATCGGCATCGAGTAGCTTGGAAACAGACGAAAGAGTTGGTTCTACGTTCCAAGATGATGAAGAGGGGAACAGATAAATATTAGGCGAAAGGTCAGGCTTTTTACAGGGAAAAGGTGATTGGTTTGGGTTATCGGGTTCAAAAACCCTTTGTTTTTCAACCGGATAAGCTATTAACTTCAGTTCTGGGCTACAGGGTAAGAAAAAATGTTGTTTTTTTAGTTTCTACCTGTATCTGTCTTGGGCCTGCAGCAAATCCGGGTCCGACATGTGTTGGACACGGACTTATTCCCCATTTTGGTGCGTCCATGTTACCTAGGGTGCAGGATTAAAAGATAACTTTTCAGGCAGAAGATGGTGATGTCGAGACGAGTAGATGGTTTAGAGAAGAGAACATGAAACTGAATGCATTTGATAGAGTTGTGTGGGTTCTCATAGTGTGAGTATAGTACTTTGATGCTCTTTTGAATTATGTTAGAATAAGAGATATTTGATAAATGGATGAGAAAACCAGATAGTTCTCTTTCACTCTTCATACTTTTGGCTCCCGAGAATTTGAAATACAGGAGCATTGAAGGGATTAGATTGGTTATAATCTCTCTCAGCGAAATATATATAGACAAAAGGAACATGTAAGCAACAATAAAATATTACTTAATAAATGAGATTCAAAATGTGAATTTACAAGAATAAGAGAGGAAAAAGCCTCTATGCATATGCATGTTTGAGTCTAATATGGGACATTCGTGCTCCTTAAAGAAATGCTTCATGGTGACATTAGGTAACTTCGTTGGGTACAACACGTCTAGAATAATCAGAATACAAATTGTTGGATTTATTCATAATTATATTCACTACTTGTTTCTTGCTTCCGAATTCAGAATTCTTATATGTTAAGGAGAATTCAATTGTTAAATGTACAACAAAAACAATTTATTTTACATCAAGAGAATCAAGGGGTGCTACTTAAAACTATCCAGTCATAATCACATATCGATGGTCAGATGAAAAGAATGCCAGTACATCAAGCAATAAGGCATTTGTTAGTGTAGACAAACATCCATTACTATAAGAAATATCTATTACACACCCAAAAAAAAAGAAACAACTACAGAGACATTATCAAATTATAGTCATGATTCCTATTAGTTTCAATAACAGAATTAAAACTGATGATGCTCAATAATTACGGTTCTCAAGAATTTAGCCCACCCAGTGACGAGAAATGATCGTGAGAGAGAAGTCAAGATCCTCAATAGACATGGATCCTGACCTAGAATTGCAAATTGGAAGTAGAAACGTCAACAAGATTGATGAGAGAGAGAGGGGGGTAGACTCACCGTTGTAGTTGAAGAGGATCTAGGGTTTCCAGCGATCGAGGGCCTTTTTAAGGCAAGGATCTCGTCGTCCTCCCTCTCTCTAAGGGAGTCGGATTCGGATCTCGCTTCTCTCTCCTCTCTCTCTCTCTGATCTGGAGGCGACAAATAAATCTAAAGCTTTTCGAAAATTTGGTATGAGTGAGCCCAGAACCACAACAACTTGTACGGTGCGGTTCGACGTGGGAAAATTGTTATTTTCGTATTAGTCCCTTACAGTGTTTTATTTCAAAATGAGACCCTCAAGTTATTGAAATCCTATTTTAATTTGGTTTAGTTTTTAACCGCATTATGTTATCCTTAAATTGACCGTTTTAATATGCATTAGGGTTTAAATTGGCCAAGTGTTTTTAAACTCTCGGAACATTTTTTGTTTATTTTTAAACTGCTTTCTTTTATCCATAGAATTGCCTCTTTCTTTCTCTCAAGTTTTTGTCATTTTTGTTGATCCGCAGCTTTTATCGTTCACCCACCAATTTTACTTGAGAGTAGGAGATGGGCGAAAGGATTTGGAGGAGAAAAATATTATGTTGAGCTAAAATAGTTTGTTTTCCAAAAATAATCAGTCATAACGGCGTTGAATCAAACTTATTTGGTTTGGTAAAAAAAAATAACCAAACCAACCAAACCAATTGCTTCCTTCAAACTATTATATCCTTAATTTTGGATTCTCATGAATGCACCATCCAAATCATTCATCTAATACTTCTAACTTAAAAGTAAAATCTCAAAATCACTATTCATGCTAAAGTAAACACTATACTTGCAACTGTGTGATTTAAAATATTAAAAATATTGTTTATGCTAGGTAATATTTAGACCTATTGTTCGCGGTGTAGTTATTTTTTTACTATAAACACTGTTCATGCTGCAGTGTGATTTTTTAATCTTGATCATATTCTATATCTTACAGTAAATTTTTTGACCCATTATCCGCTATTCAAGTTGATGATGAATTTAACATTTATAAGATATTTCGCAAATATAAATCTTTTCTGACTCTATTATAAGAAATTGATAAAACTTGTTAATTGATGTATTGTGTTGTTAACTGGTTTGAAAATTAACTCTGTAAATAGTAATTAAAAAATTATAACTGAAGTTTTTATAAATAGTTATAAAATCATATTATTAATTTGGCACAAGCCTAATACTAGCATTTATTATACTAAAGCATTTAAATTATCGCATTTGTCAATTTTGAGACTATACAACTAGAGACAGACACAACGAGACCCATCAAAGTTCATTATGCGACTCCTAATTTTTGAAAGTGCCATATGAGAAGATGAGAAGAAAAAGATATTCTGTATGGGCTTCTGTAGATAAGTTGTATTCAGTGTGATTTTTCCAATAGAGTTTCATCTCTATTTATAAGGTATTCCCGCTATCACACCACCCCCAAAAATATGTCTATGAAACAGACTTTTCTCCTAAAATTTATGCAACAACCCACTATCTCAATATGTTGAGATAATTCAACTAGTTGGTTGGTCATATTTGACTTGTTCAAATTACCATCTCCCACTTGACCAAATTAATCAAGTTAAATACGTCTTAATATTAGTGAGATCATGTATTTAATTTTCTTACTCCCACTATCCATGAGCAATATTTCCTATTTTAGTATTCATGAAAATTTGCTTAGATTTATTTATTCATAAGTCCCATCAAACTCAAATATTTGATAAAATATTTGATGTAAGTCACTTGAACTTCTCCATTTTTTTTATAATATCATGAATATAGTGACACTAGACCTCAATATGTTTTCCTTTGGAGTTACTCACACCACTATTGATCAAGTTAATCGTTGCTTGATTATCACAATCAATATCAACAGGTCCTTCTAATAAATTGAGATCTAGATCCATCAAGAGCCATCTTATCTAGACATCATGAGTAACTGTCATACTATAAGCTACATATTATGCTTCTTGCGTGTATCTAGCAATACACCACTGTTTCTTGCTACCCTAAGAAATAGCTCCCCCTTCAAAGATGAATAAATGTCACGAAGTGGACTTTCTATTATCTTTATCACCTTCAAAACCAGCATCAGAATAACCATAGAGATCAAGCATACTAGCTTGATAAACCAATCTGTGAGTAAATATGCCTTTGATGTTATTCATAATCCTTTAACAGCATTCTAACGTGTTGATCCTAAATTACTTTTATATTGACTAAGCAGACTTACAACATAAGCTAAATCAGATTTAGTGCACATTATATTACATATATCAAGCTTCCAATTGCTTGATCATAGAGAATATTTAATGGATTTTGCCCCTCTCCAAGGCTTTGCTCTTTACACGACCTCTTTCTCATGACCAACGGAGTTGGTGCCGGATTAGAATTATTCATTTTGAATCTTTTAAGAACCGATCTTAAATATTTTTTTGTTTAAATTTAATATTCTAGACTTTCTATCTCGAATTATTTAAATTCTAAAAATATATGATACATCTCTCATGTCTTTCATCTCAAACTTTTCATGAGAGCTTCCTTGATTTTGTTCAACATTTTCATGTCATTTTCACTGAGCAATCTAACCTCCACATATAAGGATCATGTAATAAACTTGCTCTCACTTTTCAAGACATACATAATTATCTAATTTGTTTTGAAGAAAACCAAGTTTGGTGACTGCATCCTGACACTTGATATACTACTATCTAGAAGACTTTTTTAAACCATATAGGATTTCGTTAATTTGTAAACGTTATATTTCTATTCTTTCACATGTAAACCTTCAGGTTGTTGCATGTATATCACTTTTTTTAACTCTATATTGAGAAATGATGTTTCAACATTCACTAAAAGTAACTCCAAATCAAGATATGCAACAATAACCAAAATAATTCTGATGAATATAAATTTAGCTATCAAAGAATATGTCTCTTGAAAGTATATTCCTATATTTTGGTTATAACCCTTGATAACTAACCGTGCTTTGAATTTATCAATAAACCCACAAACACGACATTTCTTTTTAAGCACTCATTTTGCATTCTATGATTTTTATATTCTTTGATAGATCACATAACTTCCAAACCTTATTTTTTTCTATAAAATCAAGTTCTTTTCTCATGGCTTCAAGTCATAAAGTTGATTCACGCAATTTCATTGCATCAGAGAAGATTATGGAATCTTGCTCTTCTATATTTGTATCTATGGAGAAACAAGATGTCTCATGTGAAGAAAAATAGTAACCATCCATCCATGAAGGTTGTGTTCTTAACCTTTTGTTGCCTACAATCGGTAGATGAGTACATCATTTTTCATAGGTATTTTATCATCTTCAAGGTTAAGCTCATTTACAATATCTGGATCATTAATAGGAACAACACTATAATAATCATCATCTATTATAGTGAGATGTTTTATTTCTTCTTGAACTTATTCCTCTTCCTCTAGGTTTTCTAGAAATATAGCATCTCTGCTTTCAATGACCCCTTTTTCTTTATCACAGAACTTATAATATGTTAACTTTTCTGAATAACCTATGATCTACACTTCAATATTTTAAACTCCAACTTATCTCTAAATTTGTATGGAATTAGAACATGGGTTGCAGATTTAAATTCATGAGATGACTCTGATTAAATTTTCTCTCATTCTATGACTTATAAGGTGTATATACAACTAACTGGTGAGAATAAAATTTCTCTCATTCTATGACTTATAAGGTGTATATACAACTAACTGGTGAGAATTCTATTCAATGTGTTTGTTTTTAGCAATGCTTCTTCCACAAATCTTTTAGAGAGATAAGAATGAGACATCTAACTACATTTAGCAATATTTTGTTCTTTCTTTTAGAATAGCATTTTATTATGGTGTATAGGGCATTATTATTTGTTTTTTAATTCTATGCTGAATATAATAACTCAAATTCTTCAGACCTCTATCAGTTCTAAAAATTTTAACTTTTATTCGAAGTTGGTTTTAAGGTTCTATCTTATATCTCTTAAAGCATTCAAAGGCTTTAAATTTTCTAGAGATAAGATGGACATGTGTAAACTTAGAACAATTATCTATAAAAGTAATAAAATATTCTTTATTACTATAATTTTTAACACCTAAGGGACCACAAATATCTAAGTGTATCAACCCTAAAAGTCCATTAACTCCTTATCGGCTAATAAAATATTTGTTGATTATTTTATCACTTAAATAATGTTCATATAGTGGCAATTGAATATTAAATAGTGCACGCAGCAAGTTCATTCTGATAATTTCTTTTATTTTTAAAATACTAGCATGCCCTAATCTAGAATGCTATAATTCAGACTTAAAAATATAATAGGATAAGTAATTCAAATTAAAAAATTTGTTATCAGAATTATTATAAACTACTTGAAGAATGCATAACTCATGCTCGGGTATATATTTTCTCATATTATACACATTATTATTTTTTCCTATAGAAACCCTATTTATAGAACCTAGTTCCAGACCTTTCTTTATCAAGGTGGAACTAAAGATCATATTACGCTGAATTCCTATTATGTAGACCATATCTTTGAGGATGAGAAGACTATCCTTAAGGTCCAATATGTATGAACTAATAACTTTCATATCGAGATAGGTATTGTTTCCCATATAAATTTTTTGTTCACCTTTCTTTAGTTCGATAAACTCTGTGACACCATTCTTGTCCTTTGCGATATACCTGTTGAAGTTAATTTTTATTAAAATAATAAAATATTAAAAGGGGGTTTGGATGCAAAGTTATCACCATGAAAGAGTAGATCATTTTGTAAAATGAAAAGAAGCAAATAATCCAAAAGGATTAGATGCTTGAAGATACAGTTTTTAGAAAAAAAAAATCTTGAAGCTTGATCTTATCATTATACTCTTAACACCAAAATCTATCAC